GATCGATTTTCTGCGTTGTTCAATTGTTTTCCGCACCTTAGACATGTCTAAGTATGTTCTACGGGGTCTCCTGTCATGTTTCACTTTCAGGATGAACCATTTACACACTCTGCAATTGTTCAAACTGCTAACCGAGGTCACTCTGTGTTTCTTTCACTTGTATACACCACTGAAATGTGCAAATAAAATTACAGGAACTGTGACCCGACACTTGTAATACATAAAAATTGACTCAGGGTGCCATTGACACTATTTAATAAATATTCAATAGTGTCAAGAACATGAATTAGCCAAACATGTGGACGTGTGTCTTGTTCATAACTGTACTATAGAAAGCCCCCAGTGGCACAGCGGTATGTCTACGGACTTACGACGCTAGAATCCGGGTTTCGATACCCGTGGTGGGCAGAGCACAAATAGCCCAATGTATAGCTTTGTGCTTAATTACAAACAAAACAAAAACAAATACTATAGAAGGTTTCAATTCTCCCTTTAATGTTTTGACCAATGTCGTTGATAATGGCTGACAAAGTAATGAACCTGTATCTATTAGAAATATATATCTTTGTTTTAATGCAAATGAAAATAGATTTCTTGAAGAAACGCTAATTATACATCCCAGGCACCTTCACACAGTCACAGTATGACGGTCTTAGACTTTGTTCCATAAATTTCTTTCAAATACAACTGAAAATTTTGACAACAGGATATACCTGATCTTCTCAGTCAAGGTTAGTAAACAATGACTTTTTTCTTTCAAGAAAACCGTAAAACATAGCTACAATAGAATGTTATGCTTATTATTTTATCGAAATCTTTCTTTTTATACAGCTCCTGAAAAAATACAGTAGGTTTTAAAGTATTTCTAGTCGAGATCTGCATAAACAGACTTTCTCTTTCAAACAATCCTTGAGAAAATAATCATAAGAAGTTTTGTTTTTTTGTTTTTTTAGTCAATACATGCAATGTTTAAGTTAATTATGACTTCCAAGATGTTTTGTACTGTTTTTATTTATCTACTAAGACATTATTATAATTTCTTGTACAATATGTAATTCATAACCATCGTTCAACTAAATTTCTTTAAATGTATTTTCTAATCTGCTTTGCTGTCTTGTGAGCATTTATCCTTGGCTCAGTTTGAACACATGGTCAACAAATGGAATAAATTCGTTTTATTTAATGAGAGACATATTTTAAGATTAATTAACCACCACGGATTTTATGTGTCACTGACTGCATCTTCCATGATAAATTCAGCTGCTCGTTCAGCAACCATGACAATGGCAGCATTCGGGGGTCCTGAAGTCTGACTGGGGAAGACAGAACCATCCACAATTCTGAGTCCTTTTACCCCTCGTACCCTGAAAGTTCGTTCCAAACAAGACATGAAATAATAAACCTATTGAACACATTGTCGTGCAAAGAAAAATATAAGCTCATTAATACTTTCTTAAAGCCAACAGTTGCTGAGATGTTTTTAGGTGCATAAGTTAGGTGTTAATGATTTTGACTCATGTATTAAGATGGAAAGCCTTTAATTTTTCAAGATGATGTTTTCAGGTTTTTTCTAGGACTTATAACAGGACAAAGTATTATAATGTTTTTTTATCATACAAATAAGGTAAAATTAATTCATTTCTATTCATTTATCTGATTCACGTACAGATTAATCTAATAATAAACAATACATTGCAATACAATGATTGTTATATGTTTTCATAAGGTTGAATATGGTTTGAGGAAAGAATTTCGCTTGGTTCTAAAGAGGTCAGTCGGGATATTAGAAAGTAAAATGTTAAGATTCTGTATACATTTATTCATTGTCTGTTTTTAAAATCGAATACAACATAATCCTGACTATTAAGACCTTCCAGTTTTTACTAAACAAAACAAAGGCAGACTCTTTCAAGGAAGTGCAATTAGAATGAATCTAGCATTTAATTGATTTCTAGAGGGAAAAATCCAATTATTTATATATAAAAACATCTGCTCAGGTACGGAGCATGACGGGAAACATTTTATAGCAAATAGATCTGAATAACAAAATCTTTGGATTGAGTGATTAGTTGAAGAAATGTCATATCGATCGACGTCTAGATTGCTGCAAGAAGAATAAGAATGGAATAAATAATATGCTTGTTTAAAAAAGAAAAACTATGAATAATAACTTGGAAGGGATTACGTATGTTATTTAAGCAGTTAAACTTCGAAAATAGATAACTAATATTCCATGAGACATATTTTTATCAAAATGGGGTTTCGATTTACAAACTCACGTGATTTGATAACGAATAGTAGGATTGATCGTCACATGATAATGCCCTCACGGCTAAAAGGGCGAGCATGTTTGGTGTGACGGGGATTCGAACCCGCGACCTTCAGATTGCTAGTCGATCCCCCTAACCACCTGGCCATGCCGGGCCAATACTTTGATTAAAAAAATTCTTGTCAAATGCCAGTGTAGACAGACAAACAGACAGACCTCCTGGTTTTCCAAAAATAACAAAACAAAAGCAGACTCTTGGGAAACACAAACTAAAGTGATGTAATTGGATTTTAGTGACATGGAAATTCTAAGTTTTGTTCCGATACGAATATAGAGAGTGCCAGTAGGTTATGTCAGCTCAGTCAAATAAGTTTTCGATGAAATACGCCACCTGTCTGGTAAGTATTATAATTAATCCGTGTTAAAATAAAGAAAGAACAGTGTTAAATGACTTATGAGAGAAGTCCTTCGTTAATTTGAACTTCATTTCTCTGCATTCCTTTCTGAAATGTTTCATATTATAGGACAAACTTCCGCAGCGAAATATTTAGCTGATTTCAATTTATACCTTTCGTTCCTTACCTTAGTTTAGAGTCCACCACAGAATCGGGATTATCGTCACTTCCCATGCGACACGTGCTCATTGGATGGTATCCGGTTATTCCACCAGTCCTTGCCCAACATTCCAAATACCGTGGATCGCGCATAGTCTGGTTGTACTGAGAACATTCTGAGTAATCTGGGAGGTGAAGTTTAACTCCTAGCCGTCGGAGAGGTTCAGATTTAGCGAGACGAGCAGCAAGTTTCATTGCTATTAAAATGTTCCGTTATTTTATTTGTAAGATAAAAAAGAATTAAGTATAAAATATAAACCATAATTCTGGAGAAAAAGGCTACCAAGGATTCTAGGAAAAAATAAATCTTATAATTATGACAGTTTTTATTTTATTCAGATATGAACGAAAAAGAGGCATAAAAAATTCGGAATTTGGTCATAGGATGAAATTATATTAACCTAATTTTTTATTCATACACCTTGTATTTTGCTAAGCTAAAATGTCATATTTTCATTTATATTGAGCTAAAATCCATGAAAACAAAGCAGAAACTCTGATTACAATTAATATAGATAATAAAATGTTCACAAATCATCGAGGTTTTTCCTTAATTTAACCTGTTAAAGGAGTAAAGTGAAAAACGTTAGACAAAAAAAAAAAAAAATTGACTGCAGAAGAATTTTGCTGTTATTATTATTATTACCTTAATTTCTTTAAGATGTACATACATATTGTATTCTGGAATGATCCAGAATAACTTATAAGAATATATCAATAATTTTGAAGGTAATTAGTTTAGAAAACAGTACACCATCCTAAGGCTAAACATAAAAGATTCCAGAATCACTACAGTTTTGTTTGTTTATAGTTAAGCACGAAACTACAAAATTGGCCATCTGTGCTATTCCCACCAAGAGTATCGAAACCCGGATTCTAGCGTTGTAAATCACCAGACATACCGCTGTGTCACTGGGGGGTATTCATTACAATAAAGCTTTATATTAGCTTCTACATGAGAAAAATTAAACCGACTTTCAATTAGAACGGCTGGAACAAATGTTTATAATTCAATGTTTTTAAAAGTTAAAAATATTTATACTCACCTATCTATTATAATATTCATATTATAATAAATATGAATTTCTTATGATGTATGTTGTATTATTTCATACATATAACTATATTTTAACCACTTCCGTTGAGTCTGTGTATATCACACAGACTTTTCATAGACATTTCAAGCATAATAATCAAACATATTTTTTCAGGAAGCGAAAAATGGGGCAAACAGAAATTCTGAGTTACTCAGTAGTTTGTTTGTTTGTTTTTGAATTTCGCGCAAAGCTACACGTGGGTTATCTGCGCTAGCCGTCCCTAATTTAGCAGTGTAAGACTAGAGGGAAGATGGTTAAGGAGCTCGACTTGCAATTTGCGGGTCGCGGGTTCGAATCCCCGTCCCACAAACATGCTCGCCTTTTCAGACGTGGGGGCGTTATAGTATGATGGTCAATCCCACTATTCGTTGGTAAAAGAGTAGCCCAAGAGTTGGCGATGGATGGTGATTACTAGCTGCCATCCCTCTAGTCTTACACTGCTAAAATAGGGACGGATAGCGCAGATATCCCATGTAGCTTTGCGCGAAATTCAAAAACAAACAAACAAACAATTCTTCAATAAAAATATTTGATAAACTGTTTTAAATTTAAACAGAAAATAAACAATTTCCACATCGATCACATAGTTAACTAAAAGTGTTAATTTTCTGTTAGTTTGAATTATCGATAATGTTTTATAGATTATCCACTTCTGTCACAATAAATGAAGAGTAAAATAATCAAACATACACAATGACACATTTAAACTGTACAGTTAATATCAACTTGAAGTGTGACATATGGTTACAATTTACCTTGTATAGTACATTTAACATCATAATCTTCTTCTAAATAGTGTGGATCAATTACTGGAGCGACCGATGGATCTGATGAAGTTAAGTAGATTTCTCCTCTTGAACGTGCGTGTAAGCAGGAAGCCAGAATAATAAATCCTTCTTTTGAATCGTTGTGACTATCGGGAAACGATGTTCTAAAAGCCTGAGAGGAAATGTGGTCATAAACAGCAAATGTATTTATTTATCAATAGTTAAAAAACGTAGCATAGTAAATATAAACGAATTAGACATGATAGGCTTTTGAAGAATTTTATAAGTTAAGTTTTTAGATGCCATAAATATTGTTGCTGGGTGAGCTTTTTCTGGATTATTCGGTAAAACAAATACTGCAAAGTCCACTACAGTTAATGATAACAAGAGCATTTTATTTCTCTAACTACAAGTCCTACAAGTACAACTTGTTCAAGTTGTATGTAACTAACGATAGGTCTAACTCACAAATAGATAATTCCTCAACAGAGACTCTGCTTACTAATGTTCTCATGCGTATGCTAATACTTTTATCTTTAGTACTTCAATAAAAACACAAATTGAAAACTTGCATCTCAGAAATAACTAAATGCCTGACTCAATAACCATTCCACCATTATAACAGACTCACGAAAATAAATTAATAACATCTTCTATCTCACATAACTCAGTAATATATTTTTCAAATCGTCTTCTACATTTTCAAAAAAAAACCAAGTGGTTATTTGGCACGCACTCATAACAATATATGGTGTTCTTGGGTGTGATTTTTAGACATCTGCATTGTTTTTGGCTAGTGGGAGGTTTGGACATCGATATATATATATATATAAGTGTCATTTGTTCTCTGTTGCTGCTACTGCATAATGTTTGGTGAAAGGGCAGCACAAAGTCAAAAACTAAAACATTTGTTAAATTAGACTATCTAAATTTACAAATGGTATCTTTAAACTTACATCGTCCTTAAAGTTGGCTATTTTAGCAAATATGTCAGCATTCACTGATCCCATGTTGAAAAGCATCAAGAAAAGAGCCGGATCAAGGGAAGATTGGGACATTGGAGCTCTGAGAAGTGCTTCTATTCCACTTTCTGCCAACACACCTGGAAGAGTAACAAATTAGTTTCCTGAACCTCAATAAATACACACGATAAGTTACAAACAAGTAATAAGAAGACAAACTTCTGTAAACTGTAGATAGGCCTGGGTTTATACGCGTAGTGAAACTCAAAATGATTTTTTAAACCAGCTTCTGCAAACTGTAGGTAGGCCTGGGTTTATACGTGTAGTGAAACTCAAAATGATTTTTTTTAATTCTACTAAAACTCTCAACAATAAATATGTTTGTTTTGTTGAATTTCACCTAAATCTACTTTAAGACTACCTGCGATAGCTGTCCCTAATTTAGAAGTGATAGATTAGAAGAAAGGCTGATGGTCAACACTACTCATCGCCAACTCGTAAGCTACTCATTTACCAACGAATAGTAGGACTGTCCGTCACATTTTAACGCCCTCACGGCTGAAAGGGCGAGCATATTCAATGACGAGACTGGAACTCGACCCTCAGTTTGCGAGTCGAACGCCCTAATAATCAGGCCTCTAATAAATTTGGATAGAGAGTTATTCATGCTATTGCATTATTATGAATATCGGTACTGAATGTAGGTTATCCAATGTATATATGTTAAAATTAATTCTTTGTTCCAATTACATTTTATATCCTCTCTCTCTCTTGTCCTCATATAGATGTTTCTAAATATTAATTAATAAGTTTTTTTATTGTCGTTTGTATTTGGAATAACTTGTTTATATAAGGTATAAGGAGAATTACTAGCCGTGGATAATTACTATAAAATCTACATTAGTTTATATTGTTTCATTCCTGGTTTATTTAATCACTTACAAAATACTATTCATGAGCTACTATTTGAATCATGTAAAATGTGTTTTGAATAAAATCCATGAATAATTTTAGTAATGTCTTTCAAGTCCAAGCTCTTAATTATACACTTGTGTGTCTTTGTATGCGCGTGCGAATGTGCGTTTTTATTATTTTAGTCGTTATAAAACTTATTTGAAAGTCATGCTTAGTATTTAGTTTAAATATATATCATGTGGGGACTTACCTTTTCCTTTAACAAAATAGTTCCACATCTGCCCAAGAGAGCGGACTTTGGAGGTTGTTATACTGGCTGGTCTGGATAAATGGAAGTACATAGGAACGTTTAATTGATCTAAGAGTCCTTGTCCAACAGCGGGAATGCTGGCCACGACCGGAATCTGTAAATCCAGAGACTAGGTTTTGATTTTAATTATGTAGATCATCGATTAAAAAAACTCCTAAGCCCACAATTTTACAGCTTGATTGTAGTTGTACAATTAATCTCTATGAATTTTAAAATCAGGATTCACAGTATAAATAAGCTTGGCCTGGTTAAGAAATTATCCTTAAATATTTTACACCAGTTACGATTTATTTATAGTTGAAACGAGTTGGATTTAGATACGGTTAAAGTGTTATTAAAGATACTATTAAGTTTTTCTTTAGGCTGGCCAGATCTTACCTTTAAACTTTCTAAGTCTTTCTGAGGCCCTATTCCACTTAAGAGAAGGAGATGAGGAGAACCTACAGTTCCTAAACTAAGAATGATTTCCTTCCGAGCACGGACATGTTGCACGTCTCCTGTAGGAATCTTTAAGATTTCGACAGCTGTTGCCCGTTTTCCTTCAAATATTAGCTGTTGATCATATCAAACATGTACAATGCACAACTATTTTTTTATATTTTTTCTTTATATAATTTTACTGAACTTAATAGATTATTGTGAGTTTTGAGCTTTTAGACCTTGTTTTTCATTCGTAAAGATTAGCTGGAAACATCTAATCTACCAGCTTTTAAAATACGTCATTGGCTATTAGTTGAATAAAACAGGGTAATAAAAGTTTAAATGAATAACTTTCTTTTTGAAATCCACGCATTCTAAATCTGATTTCTCAAATATTCACCAACCCTAAATCTCATTCATATCAAATAACGTTTTGTTTATGCAAAACTTATATAAGTTTTTTCTCACAGCGTCCCCAAGTGGAAGTCGAGCCATAAGCTTCATTCGACAAATCAGGAGATTTCAATAGATTTTGCAAGAACAAACTTATTGTTATACAAAAGCAATATTAAAGTAGGTGGTACTTACTTAAGGCTAATTCTTACATGAAATATAATACTAGTACTAATGTGTTTTTTTGGAAGAAGGTGCATTGAACGTGTTCTTTGGTTAAGGTGCCAGGTAGTAGATCGTAAGGTTAAAGGTCCGAGTTCATGATATACTGCTGAACATAGTTCGTAGTTTCAGTTGTGATGTCGTTATGATTGTGATAATGTATAGACGGAGGAAGCTGCTAATGGTTTTCCCATTTCTACTTAGCAATTATAATAAGGGATGACTATGCCTTAATCTTGTTGTTTCTGACCTGGCGGTTTAGAGCATGTGTCGCCAAAGTGTCAGTGAATTATATTATAGAATTCGATGACGATTATTAGTCACATTTGGAGACTAATAATGCTTAACAGCAAATATACAACGTTTCGACAAGGTTTCGTCATCATCAAGTACAAGTAGTTTACACTGACACAGATATATATATATATATATACAGTATAGAAAAAAGAAGTCACATGACCGGATACTGTTGCCCGACATAGAAGAGATATCTTGGCACCCCAGGGTGTTTGTTTAGAGTAGGGTTGTTTTGTTCAATTAAGCTAGATTCCTTGATTTTTCGTTTATGTATGTTTGGTTCTTTTTTTAAAATGATTGTGTTTTTAATAGATATACTATGGTTTT